CTGCCCCTTGCCCAGACCCTCAGATATACTGCTGTTCTCTTGGCAAGCCTCCCCTTACTTCAGGGACCCTGGACTGCAGAGCCCCAGTCCTCCTCCGGCTGACCCAGGGGTCCAGGCCCTGGCCCTCCTCCCTCAAGCTGTGGAAAGAACCACCTATGGACAAATACTCGCTGGCGCCACCTAGTGTCAGGACCCTCCCAGGACAAGAAGAAGAAAGGCAGGTTTCCTGTCTCCTCCAATCTTCCCCAAAGTGGCCCAAAAAATAAAGTCTCAGAGAAAAGCTATGTTCCACACGTGGCGGTCTTCCATTCAATGTCACACTCTCACGCTCGGGTCTCACACATTCATGTTCTCTCCCTGAGCCTCGATTTACCCATCTGTAAAACAGGGTTCTTGATAAAGGGGGTTCAGGGATTCTGAGAAAAGTGCCACCCCAGGAGATCAAGAAACAAAGTTCCCTTCAGTCCTGGATCTGCTGCTGCCAACTGTCACCTGAGAAGGACCCCCTCATTCCCTGTAATCCCAGCTTCCCAGGAGGCTGAGCCAGGAGGATAGCAAGTTCAAGGCCAGCCTGTTCAAGGTGAAACTTTGTGTCAAAATAAAAAAGAGCTGGAGATATATTTCAGTGAGAGAGCACCCCTGGGTTCAATCCCCACCATTAAAAAAAAAAAAAGGGTTTAGAGTTACCCTGCACTGATATCACATCAGGCCTTCATGTCTCCTCTACAGAGGAGGAAGAGGCAATCGCCACTCCCACTTAATAGACAGGCAGCCAAGGCACCGAGAGGCCCGGAAATGTGCCCAAGGGCACACAGCACTGGGTGGCAGAGACAGGATTAACACCCAGCCCAGCTTGTTCCAGAGCCCATGTCTGAATTAGGTGATGTGTTAACCGGTGTTTCAGACTCAGCCTGATTTTACAATTCACACACCTGTTCCATGGGTATTATCTCATCCAACCCAGGAAGGCCCCACCCCCTCTGCCCACCCCAACCTAAGACCCCCCCAAGCACCCAAGCAATAGATAGGTGATGCTTCTCACCCAAGGGGCCACCCAGGACCCTAGTCTCTTGACCCCCCAACTTTAGCAGCCTGTGTGGTCTTGAACAATTCCACCTCCAGGAGTGGACTCAGCAGACATCATGGACAGGGCAAGCTATCTCCTTGTACACATTAACGTGACTCTCCTAGAAAAGCTCTCTGGGGTGGTCCTCTGATGATCAGGTTTATAGGGAGCCACTTCAGGGGAGGCTGTGAGCAGGGGAGGGGAGCGGTGAGCTCTGGGTATGCAAAGACCCTCTGTGGCCATGTGGTGGCTGCCACCACCAAGGGGACAGACTGCCAGATGAGGGCAAGAAGACTGCTGGGGCCTGGGGCCTGGGGCCAGGGAGAGAGAATGACTGAGCTGGAGCCGGGCCAAGGGGACAGAGAGGAGGGAAAAAGGTGTTGGCGGGGAGGCTGGGGCCGAAGGTCAAGGACTGGGGATGGATGGAGGGCAGGGAATGTGGGGAGGGGAGGGTGGACAGGTTTCTGGTGTCTGGTGATATAAATGGGTGGATGTGGAGGTGGGATGGTCCCATAGGGAGTCTGGAGATTGAAATGAGTTAGGGCCCTGCGAGTGAGAGGGCCCTGAGGGCACTGGGGAGGGGCTGCGCGGGAGCAGGTCGCTGCCGGAGGCTGGAGTTCGGTCTGAAGGAGGAGAGAACGCACTTGGTGGGTTAGAGGGGGTCAGAAGGCTCAGGCCGCAGCTGGGCAGGTGAAGGGCATCTGCGGAGAAAGCCCGGAGCACTGCTCGGGTCTGAGCCGGCCAGAGCCGGCAGGAGGCGGGTTGCTGAAGTCGCTGCGCAGGGGCGGTCTGCTCCAGATCTGGTGTCAAGGTTGGTCGGTGTCACGCGGACGATGTCAGTACCTGCCTGCGTGGGCTGCAAGGAAGAGCACGTGCGGCCTGCCGTGATGGAAGGCCCTCAACACAGGCCTGGCACGGGAGGTCTGTGGCTCATCTGTCACCACCACCACTTGCCAACAGCCGCAGGCGGCCAGGGGGCCGCAGGCCAGCCAGCGGTGCCTGGGGTCAGAACGCTGGATTCCTGCCCGTTGCCTCTTGTCCTCTGTATGACTTGTGGCTGTGCCGCCCCTTTGTGGAGGTTGTTAAGGAGGAAGCCATCATAACCAGATGGGTAACTGAGCACAGGGGCACGGCCCAGAGCCTGCAACTGAAGCTGTGGCCGAGAGCATGAACTTGGGGGAGACAAAGGGGCGAAGGAGCTCTAGAATAGCTCTCAGCCTAGGGATCCAGAATGTCCGCAGCTCTGGAGTTCTCATGGCTGGAGACCTGAAGTTCTAGTATGCCCGAAGGTCTGGGGCTCCTGCACACTGGAAGCTCCAGAGTTTCAGGGTGTCTGGAGATCTGTGGTTTTAGAGTATTCTAAAAGCCTGGGTTCCACAGTGTCTGAGGACCTAGACTGTCTGAATGTCTTGGGGCCTAGAATCTGAAAGTCTGATATTCTAGAGATTTGGAAGGCCTTTGGTTCTGGAGGGGCCGAGTCCCAACCATACAGCAGTTTCCCATAAAGGAGATGCCTTCCCAGACAGAAGAGGGATGGTGTGTAGAACAGGTCCCAACCTTTGCTGGTTGACTTGAGGTAAGTCCCTCCTGCTCTCTGAACTTACTCATTAGTGAGACTCTAGACAATTGCTCAGAGCCCTCTGGGGTTCTGAGACACCAGAAGCCAGCCCCAAATACCTGAAGCCTTGGGTCATCTTAGTGTTGATCTCTGGCCTCCAGAATGCAAATTTCATGCTCCAGAACCCAAAATTAAGACCACAGAATCCACAATACAGACCTAGGTTCCCAGTCTCTAAATTCATACTTTACAGTCAAGATCCTAGCGATCTCAGACTTGTGGAAGCCAAGTCTGTCTCCCAGTCCAGCCTTTTAAATGTGCAATGTAGATCTAGAACCCCAGACTTCATATTCCAAATCTGAGTCTGGAGCAGACTCTAGAACAAGGCATCAAAATCCAAAATCTACCATTTGTACTCTAGGCCCCAGGCTTCACACAGCATGTGTAAAGTTCTCTGACCTCAAGTCCAGATTCCTAATCTGGATTCTAGATCCAAATACCTGGGGTCTAGAATCCAAGTCTGAGACCTCAAAGAGCATTCAAAACCTTGACCCCAGGATCCAGATTCCAGACCTGAGATCACAGAACTCATACTTGAGAATTCACACTCCAGACTTCCAGTTGTGAATGACAAATTCAGGACCCCAAAGTCTAGAACTCAAGCTCCAGATCCAGAATCCAAGCTCCAACTCCAGAATCCAAGATCCAGAATCCTGCGCCAGGAACAAGACGTATGACTCTAGAATCCAGTTTCCACACTCCACACCCCAAATTCCAAGCTCTGTATTTTGAGGTCCTCCAAATTTTCTTGCACTTGCCTTCCTGTCCCCTGCCCCTGGAGGAAAATTCCTTCTCACAGACTCAGACAATAACTTCAGCCCATAAATGCTCATTAAACCTAGTCCCCCACCCCACCAGCCACCAAGGCGTCCAGCCTGTAAACGTGGCTCTCAGACACCTCTCACCCCACCCTACACCACCCAACCCGAGACCCAGGTGGGGCTGGGACCTTATAAATTCAGGCATTCCGGTGCCTGCTTCCCTTCTGCGGCCACCCAAGCTGCCCTAGATGCTCCTGGAGATCTGGAGGGGGTGAGATCTTTAAGAAAGAACTTGGGAAGCCGGAGTGGGCGAGGGGCAACACAGACCACCCTGGGGGAATCGAGTGTCAAGGGTACTGGATAGGTCCATGTGTCCGTTACTGAGGGCCCAAGCTGAATCTGAGCCAAGACAATGTCCTGAAGCTTCTAGAAAAGCCCCTATGGGAGGAGGGGAGATAGAGTGTGCCAGAGGATGTCACTGAAAGCATCTGAGCCAGAACCCAGGAGAACAACCTTCCAGAGCTCTCTCCTGCATGCCAGGCCCCAAGCTGGCTGGGGACACAGACCCAAGCTGACCTGAGCCCCCTCTTCAGAGCCCCCAAGATGGGGGACAGGGAAAGGCCAGACAGCATTTGTGAGTGGGTGTCTGTGCTACATGGAGGCAGGAGTCCAGAAGACAAGCGCTAGGCACTGGGCAGTCCGGAGAAGACCGGGCTGAGCCTTGAAGGACAGGTAGGGAAGGACTCACTCCCAAAGCTTCCCCAAATCCCCCGTTGGCCAGACCCGGCAGCCGCAGAGCTGGGAATCCAGAACCAAGTCAGCCGGGGCCTGCTCTCAAGGAGTTCCCAGTCTGGTGGGGGAGGGAGACGCCACCGAGGGCCAGGGAGGTCAGAAAAGGCCTGCGGGGGTGAAGTGGACCTTGAAGAGAAGGGCATACCTGATGGGGCACAGCCTGAGCAAAGGTGTGAAGCCATGGGACTGCAGAAGGGGGAACAGCAGCACTAGAAGGACAAGGTCACGGAGACCCAGCCAGACAGGCTGGAGGGCAAGGGCGCGCTCACATCCTCTAAGGTGGGGCTGAGGGGCTGGGACTGTATCCCGGGATCACTAAGGGGTCTGTGGGGGCTGTGAGCAGGGAGGGGCATGGACGGCCAGCTCTGGGAGTGGACGAGCCCAGGGGGACCTTGGTTTGGAGACAGGCTGGGGAAGTGCTAGACTGAAGGGGACCCAAGAGGCCACAGGGGAGGCTGGGATTGGGTCCTGAGCCAGGGCCTTGGGGATGGAGAGATCAGGAGCTGTTGGCATGGTGCGGGGGCACCTGGGGTCTGTCCTGGTGCCTAGAGGAACAGTAGACCCTCCAGAGATGGGGACCCAGCAGGAAGAGCAGGTGGTGGGGGGCGTGGGGAGAAGGTGGGGAGAAGGAGGTTTTAAGCAGCAGGGGGTTGGGGGGAGGAATGAGCTGGTGCCTGGAGGCATCCTGGGGGTGGGGTCCAGACACAGCCCGGTTCTGGTTCTCCTCTCCACAGACATCGCTGAGCCCTGGCCTTTCTCCACAATGTGGCTTCTGCTCATCTTCTCCATCCTGGTGACATCTGCAGGTGAGGGGGCCGAGGGTGGGTCCCACTGCCTGGGAGCATGGTGCCCTCCACAGAACGCATAGGTCCCGAGACCCCAAAGCACCTACCTCACAGAGACCACCAATGACCCTGCCCCCACCCTCATCCCACCTGAGCCACCTGCCAAAGCTCCTGAGTCCTTGTGCCAGCCTAAAAGCCACTGGGACTCTGGAAACTGCTGTCTGGAACCTCTCCCTGCCCATGACAGTGTCCAAAGTTCTGGCATCTCACAAATCTGAGTTTGAGTCTTGGGCCTGCCCCTTCCTTGCTGGGTGACCTTGAGAAACGTGTTTCACCTCTCTGGACCTCAAGTACTTTCCGGATAAGACAGCAGGTACCTGTGACAATAATGGTGAGGCCTCAGCAACATAATGTGGGTAATGCATGTAATAAACATTGAACAGGGTGGAGAAGCCAAGAATTCAGACTCTGGGTTCAAATCCCACCTCTGCCACCTTCCAGTTCCCCAGTGCATGATGGAGATGGCAGTCCTCCCCACGGGTGGTGGTTGAGAATGAAACATGGGGCCCTCGAGGGCCCATATGAAGTGAGCACCACATCCCTCAACTGCCAGAGGGATGGCCACTAGGTCAAGGTCACCTGGGTGGCAGTTTAGCTCCAGCCCAAGCTCTGCCACTACCCCTGGATAAATCACATGTAACCTGATGCCTCCCTGGAGAAATTCTCAAGTAGATCTGTTCCTTAACCCCCTCCTGCCCCTCACCCCTCAGGCCTCCCCATGCTGCCAGCCTCCCTTGGGGCTTTCCCTGTGCCCCCCTCCTTGCCTCCCACCTGCCTGCTGCACCCAGCTGGGGCCTCCACCCTCCTCCAGCTCGGACTGGCCAGGTGCAGCCCGGTGCCCAGCTGTTCAGCCAGCGCCCTCACACCCTTCTCCGTGGAGGACCTCACCCTTCCTCAGTTAAGCCCCTCATGTACCACATCCGCATTCCCAGCCTCACCCTCAACTTGGTGGGAAGAGTGGGGGCATTTGGTCCAATTATGCAAATCCAGCCCCAGTGAGGGTGTCTGTGTACACGGCTGTGACCTTGGGGGTATACACCCTGCCCACATGCACACTGCCCATTGTAGGAGGCTGTGGTCCTTTGACCTGGAAATGTCCTGATGTCCTTGTGCATGCCGCCATTGTGTGTGTGTGTGTGTGTGTGTGCACGTGGCAGAGATAGGATTTGAACCCAGAGTTCGTGCACTTAGTTTTTCAATCCTTATTGAGTGCTTATTATATAAATTACCTACATTATGCTACCGAGACTTCACTGTTATTGTCATAGGTATATGCCCCTGTGTGTGTGTGTGTGTGTGTATTGGGGGGTTCCACATCCTGTCCATATGCATGAACCAGGTCCCTGTAGGTGAAACCCGATGAGTGACCTTGAACACCATGGATCTTGCTTGGGGATTGATCTGGAAATGGATAAACATGACCTATCCCAGTCGTCTGATAAGTCTTTGACTTTGAATGCCTGGCCCTATGTCTGGGTGTTGCCCTGGAGTCTGATCTGGTGGGTCCACGTCTGAGTGTTGGTTCTCTAGTTTGTTGTCTGCAACTTTGATTCTACAAAATGGCTTGTGGTTGAATCACGGTTTTGACCTTGGCCATGGAGGTCGATGCAGATGTCTACCTTAGTACATCCATATGTGTGCCCACAAATAAATCTCTGGGTCCTTAGTTGAGAATAACTAGCATTTACTAAGCAGTTCCCAGTTACAATGTTGCAGGTATGATTCAACACACACACACACACCGTCCTATTTCATCTTTACAAACATCCCCATCTTACAGATGAGGAAAGAGAGGCACAGTGATCAAATAACTTGCTCTAAGTCTCACACCTTGTATATTTGAACCCAGGGTTAAGGACCCCACCTTCTTTGCCTAGACCTGTTATGCACATGTGCTTATCTGTGACACTGGGAGCCAAGACCACACTGGAGACTAAATTTAGGTCTGACCTGTATCCAATGTTGAGTGTGTGTGTGTGTGTGTGTGTACACAACCATGCGTTAACTGTTCATATTCATACACAGTGTCTTTTCTCTGATTCTCGAAGCTCTAACCCATGCACCTGCAGTTAATTTTTAGCTTAAAGTGCTCTCCCTGTCTGTGCCTGTGCTTGCAAACCTGGTGGAGTATATGTGTGTGTTCAGGACCCTATGGGGCCAATTGGTGAATGTGACTGACATATACAGACCCTGGAGCCAGGACTGTGTGTCAAACCTATTGAGTGACTATATTCACTTGATATCATGATACTTTGGGACCCTGAATCACTAGTTCCAAGTGATCACCTGTCTGAGCCTCACCCCCAATCCCAGAGAACTCCTTGCCCTCTGATCCTTTCTCTGTCCTCCCTCTCCCGGGTTCCTTAGCAAGTGGGGCTAGACTAGAATTGCACAAAAGGCATTCGTTGTAAAAGTCAGAGAGGACAGTGCTTCACAATAAACAGCAGGGACCCTTAAGAAATTGGGACCAAGTGTGGTGGTGCGTGCCTGTAATCCCAGGGACTTGGGACGCTGAGGCAGGAGGATCACAAGTTCGAGGCCAGCCTTGGCAACTTAGTGAGACCTAAGCAACTTAGTGAAACCCTGTCTCAAAATAGAAAATACAAAGGGCTGGGGAAGTGGCTCAGTGGTTAAGCACCCCTGGGTTAAATCCCCAATACAAAAAAAAAAAAAGAAAGAAAGAAAAAAGAAAAGAAATTGACGTGGATGAAAAGGATGGAAGAAAGGCGTCGGGATGCGGAAGAGGCCAGGTCTCAAGGATCTTCTGCCCCTCCCCCACCAGCCCAGGATAGAGACAAGGCGCTGGAAGGGGAGGAGTGTGTGCCCCACTCCCAGCCATGGCAAGTGGCCCTCTTCGAGCGTGGGCGCTTCAACTGCGGGGCTTCCCTCATCTCCCCACGCTGGGTGCTCTCTGCTGCACACTGCCTCACCCGGTATGAAGGCGGGGCGTGGGGGCCTGCCGGGGCTCGGGGACAGGCGTGGGGGCTAGTTTTGGGGGAAGTACGCGCTGGTGCCTGGAGCTTTGGGTTGAACGGGGAAGAGGGTCCATATTCCTGGGTTCTGAAGGAGGAAGAAGCTGGAGGTCAGGGCTCTTAGGTCCCTGAAGGAGGAAAGAGGCTGGTAAGGCCCCATCTTTCTGGGGGGAAGAGTCTGGGGATCTGAGAATTCTAGATTCTGAGGAGGGAAGGTCTGAAAGCATGGAGGCTGAGTTCCAGGTGCGCCCAGGCTTTCAGACTCCCGGATCCCCGAGGGGCAGGAGCTGGAACCTTTTGGCCTCAGGCATATGGTTCATAATGGCACCTGGAGATTCCCAAAGGGTCAGAGGATTCCAGGTTGCACACTCTTTGATCTATCTACTCCTTACTGCACTTGCGGGTAACGACTCGCTGCACAGCTTCATGAGCGTGCGCCTGGGCGAGCACCATCTGCGCAAGTGTGATGGCCCGGAGCAACTGCGGATGGTTTCTCGCGTCATCCCCCACCCGCAGTACGAAGCACGCAGCCACCGCCATGACGTCATGTTGGTGCGGCTAGCCAGACCTGCGCGTCTGACCCCCCAGGTGCGCCCAGTGGCCCTGCCCACCCGTTGCCCCGACCCAGGAGAGGCCTGAAGGGTGTCTGGCTGGGGCCTGGTGTCCAACGAGGAGTCCGGGACCACAGGAAGCCCTGAGTCTCAAGGTGTGTGAAAGGATGGACCTATCCTCCAGGGCTCCCGGTAGAGGGGACGGGAGCCAAAATGCACTGTATGCTCCAAGTCTGCTGTCCTCCCCAGTGAGCCTCCCAGACACGCTGCATTGTGCCAACATCAGCATCATCTCGGACGCCTCTTGTAACAAGGACTACCCTGGACGCCTGACAAGCGCCATGGTGTGTGCAGGAGTGGAGGGCGGAGGAACCGACTCCTGCGAGGTCAGAGCACAGAGGGGCTAGGAGGTGGGAGAAAGCGGGTGGGTACGGGCTGGAAAGTTGGGACATCTTGGATTTTGTGTGATTGGAGCCATGAAGATGCTAGAGTTAAGTCTAGATGTGTGATAGTAATAGTGGTTATAATACTGGTTAGGTTGGAGTTAGAGCTAAAGATGGAAATAGGGTTAGCTTGGGATAGCATGATTGGTGTGAGGATGGGGAAGAGTTTGGTTTGATTTGGATGGGAAATATGTTGGGGGCGAAGTGGGCTGGGATGGATTTGGAGAGGAAACATTAGATGTGGAGACTGGGAGTGAGTTGTGTTAGATGTGAGGATGGGCATGGGTTTGCTTGGATGGGTTGAGTTTCTTCAGGTTTAGCTGAGCAAGTGGGGCTGGGGGTGCCTGGGATGGAGTGGGTTGGATTGAGATTGCAAATAGTGATTAGGATGGGGATGGGGTGGCTCTGAATCCAGGAAGTTCCCTCTCAACTTGAGACACCCCCTTCTACCCACAGGGTGACTCCGGGGGACCCCTGATCTGTAGAGGTGCTCTTCAGGGCATTGTGTCCTGGGGTGATGTCCCTTGTGACACCACCACCAAGCCTGGTGTCTATACCAAAGTCTGCCGCTACCTGGAGTGGATCAGGGAAACCATGAAGAGGAACTGACTAATTGGCCTACCTGACTGAGGGGAAGCCTCCAGTGCTGGCCAGCGGTCCCGTCCTGCCCTACTAGGCTACTATGTCCCTGTCCTCCCCTGCACCTACTATGTCCCTGTCTAAATCCCAGATGGTAGCCAAGGACTTGTCATGACTGAAGCCAAAGCTGGTGTTCAAGGTCACCTGTTTAACACCAAGATTAGAGGTTGATTCACATTTATCTGTAGGAGTTTCTGTCACTTTCTTCTGGAGATGAAGGGAAATGGGAGCCAGAAGCTGGGGGTGGGGGACTCATAGAACACGGTTCCATCTCCAACCTGTCCCTCCAGTAGGTGAGAGGACATGGCTTCAAGCAGGGCTGTGTCCACTCAGCACATGTGAGCAGGTGCATGCTGTTGAACAGGGTCTCAACCTCACTCACCCTGGTCCTCCCATCTGTAAAATCCTGATCCTGATATCACTTGCCTCCTGGGGTGGTCATGAGGATAAATTGAGGTCCTACTTATGAACTGATTAGAATAGTGTCTGGCATTGAGTAAATACTCTGTATCACTGAATCCCAGAGAGGGACCCCCACACACTAGGTCACCCAGAATGACTTCTTTATCTTAAAGATTTAGTTCAAAGTTTCCTGATGGTCGTGACAAAAAAAAAGGCAAACACCTCCTTTCCTTAATCAGATTCCTAGGGAGCAGAGGCTGGGACCCTGTGAGCTGTTTTGATTTTACCAAAGAGTCAAGATAACACTTTGGAAGCCTGTGGGTTTACCATTGAGGCCTCAGGAATCTCGTTCCTGGTTCTCTTCAGAGATCTCAAAATGTGATTTTTCAAGATCACGGGATGTGGAAGCACATGAACCTGGTTCTTGAGATCTAACTATTCTATTGGTGGAATGGGAGTGGAAGTTGGAATTTGTGGTGATAATCGTGACCCAGGAGGGTGGGTGGTTAATCCACATCTCTGGGGCTTCAGAGGACATGACCTTCAGGAGTGAAAGGGTCATTGTGATCCCAACACTGGGGACACACTGAACATGGGAATGCTAGAGATCTTGCCCTGGGAGACCCTGGAAACTGTCCCTGTAACATGTACAAGTCCCCCTAATTTTTATTAAGGACCAAGTCTCAGGTCTAGGAGTGCAAGCCTCAGGGCAGTGTGAATGCCAAGACTTATATTTAAGGGAGAGCTAGCAGCTGAGAAGCTGCTCTCTGGGCTCTGAGTAGTGCCCTGTACCCCTGAGCAAGTCGTCCCCCGCCCCTGAGCTCCAGGGCCTGCCCCTCCTGGCCTCAGCCTGGGACTGCATCCAGTGTGATCCAGGGCACACAGGACAACAGGTGCAGGTTCTCCCTCCCCTTCCACAGGGGTGGGAAAGGGTAGCCCAGCCCACCGCCAGGGGCAGGGCCTTGGCCAGCATCTGGGTGCCAGCAGGGCAGGGGCGGGGCTCTGGGGGCATTAGGGCTTTTAAAGGCTCCCCAAGGAGGTTCTTCAGCTCCTGCCTGCCTCTGGACACCTCTGTCACCATGTGGTTCCTGGTTCTGAGCCTCGCCCTATCTCTGGGGGGGACTGGTGAGACAGTGGGGGGCTGTGGAGGGGACCAGGGCCCTGACTCTCATGCTTCCCTCACCACTGTAAGTCCTTCCTCTCCTGCCCAGCACCCCAGCCTTGACCCTCCAGGCCACAGTCACCCTACACCAGGGATCAGGCGCTTCCTTTCTCTCCCAGTCCTCCACACTGTCACCTCCCTCACAGTTCCCTTCCCTCGAGGGGGAAGTCCCTGCTCCTTGCCACTTCCCCAGATCTTTCTCCTCTTCCCAAGTCCACAGCACATCTCTCTCTCTCTTTGGGGTTCTCCAACTCTTCCAGGGGATCTCTAGTCCCATACAGACCCTGGGACCCTGATTATCCCCTCTGACCCTCTCTCTCTCTCTCTGCAGTCCGATGGTCTGACTTCTGAATCCCCAGATCCCACCTCACCCAGTGACCCTCCCACCCAGCTGTCAGCAATCCATCTTGTCCTCCAGACCCTGACATCCCATCTCCTTTCCTCCCAAGTCTCCCAGATCCCACCAGACAACCTCGCTTCCCCAGAACCCCACACAACACCCCAGTCTTCCCTCCCAGCATGGAAATCCAAGCCCTCCACCAGGGGCTCCTTTCCTTAAGAATTCCCATCGCTCCCCAAGCTCCAGCCTTTCCCCCCCAGGAGCAAAGCTCTGCTTCCTGGGACTCCACCCCCAGCTCCACACTACCTCCCTAGTCCAGCCATCCTGCCCTGACCTCCCCAAAGGACCACAATAACCACGATCCGTGATTCTGAAACCCTACATCGGCCGAGTCCTCCATCTCCACTTCACGGCCGTGTGGCCTTCTCCATGCCTGTCCCGGATGCCTCCAGATTCCCCAGCACCCTCAGCCCAGGAGAAGCAGAGCCCACCTCTGACCGCATCCCAGAACAACGGTCACCACTCCCTCCAGGGTCCCCATCCCAGTCCTGATGCAGCCTGTTCTCAGGACCATCAGAGGCCATTCTGCAACACAGGAAGGACCCTGAAACCTCACAGGAGCCTCCTCCAGCTTTAACCCTGCCCCTTCTTTTATCCTTCAACTTGGAAACCCCAAATTCTAACTCTTCAGCCCAGCTGGCCCCTTCCAGCCTGACCTGGTTCCCCAAATCAGCCCCAGATTCCCCTGCCCAGATACACTGTCCTCTCAGACCTGGTTCCTTAACGCCTTCTCCTCTCCTGAACCTCAAAAGCCCAACGCAGGCCCTGCTTCCCCAGCCTAGGAGCCCCTAAACACCTCAAGTTCTTCTTCCAGCTTCTGATTCTCCTGGGACTCCTATATGGAATCCCTCCTCTGGACACTCTCCTCCCATCCCTCAGCCCAAGACCCCAAGTGGCCTGACCTCCAGACCCACGCCTGCCTCTTGTCTTGCTGCCTTCTCCTTCACTCCTGGGGCCAGCTGTGCTCTCAGAGAATGAGGACTAGCCATCCACTCACAAGCTCAGGGGTGACTCTTGAATTTGGGTCCTTTCCCCAAAGCACTTGGCTGTGTCCCCAGGTCCCCAGTCCTGACCCTCTACCCCCATGTCCCTTCCAACCTTCAGCACAGTTCCCTCTAAGCCTCGTCCCCCAATCCTTCCAACAGGCGCTGCGCCCCCCGTGCAGTCTCGGATCATCGGTGGCTGGAAGTGTGAGAAGCATTCCCAGCCCTGGCAGGTGGCCGTGTACCACTACAGCAGCTTCCAGTGCGGGGGCGTCCTGGTGCACCCCCAGTGGGTGCTCACAGCTGCCCACTGCATCAGCAAGTGGGTACCAGCAGGGGCTGGGGAAAAGGAGTCTCGCCCCCCAGAACTGGGCAGCCAGGGCCATTCCCAGGGTGACCTCAGGCAAAGCTGGGCCAGGAGAGTGCTGGCTTTGCAAGGAGGAGCAGAGCTGGGACTGAAGACCCTGTCCCCACTGTGGCTCTCTCAGTACTTGGCTCTGTGTGTGTCTCTTTCTCTCCATGCGGGGCTGGGGTCTGGCCTCTGTCTTCCTTTCTTCTCTGTCTCTGAGTCTCTGCCACCATCTCAGGCACTGCATGTCTCCACCCCTCTCTCTTTCTCTGGGTCTCTGGCTCACTCCTCTCCCCATCACTACTGGCCCCATTCCCAGGGGGACCCTGAGAAAAGGCAGGCATGCACCCCAACCTGTGTGCCTGGGAGGGGGCTTCCCGCTCTGCCCTGCTTCTCCTGTGTGATCATCAGTCCCCTCTGGGGGAGACACAGGGAAGGGCTGAACTGGAGCTGGGGGGGGGGGGGAACTAGGGGGGGGGGAAAGGGGGGGGGGGGGGGGGGCAGGGGTGACCTTGGGCTCTGTGCCCAGCTGCCTGCCCTGCTGGGGACCCTGGCCAGCTGCTGCAGCTGAGCCGCTCCCAGGCCTCCCCCCTCTCTCTCAGCTCACCCACTTCCTCTCTGCTCCCTGTTCTCTCTTTAACCCTGCACCCGTCTCCCACCTTCTCAATTCGCTCTCCTTCCTCTTCCCTTTGGCTGTCCCTGTCCCCGGCTTTTCTCCTCACTTTCTCTCTTTGGGGACCCTCCCCGTGCTCCCGCCCCTCCTCTCCTCACTCCCTCCATCCTTTCCCCCAGCAATTACCAGCTGTGGTTGGGTCGCCCCAACCTGTTTGACGATGAAGACTTGGCTCAGTATGCCCAAGTCAGTGACAGCTTCCCACACCCGCGATTCAACCTGAGCCTCCTGGAGAACCACACCCGCCTCCCCGATGAGGATTACAGCCACGACCTGATGCTGCTCCGCCTGTCGGAGCCCGTGCAGATCACCGATGCTGTGAAGGTCCTGGAGCTGCCCACCCAGGAGCCAGAAGTGGGGAGCACCTGCCTTGCCTCGGGCTGGGGCAGCATAGAGCCAGACAAGTGTGCGTTTGGCTAGACGGTGCAGCCTGGAGCTGGACGCCTGTGGGAGGGAGAGGGTGAGGAGCCAGCTGGGATCCGGCCACAGCCCTTTCTCTCCTTGGCCTGCAGATGTGTACCCAGATGATCTCCGGTGCGTGGACCTTGAAATCCTGTCTAATGAAGAATGTGACAAAGCCCATTCCCAGAAGGTGACAGACACCATGCTGTGCGCTGGGCACTTGAAAGGTGGCAAAGACACCTGTGTGGTGAGCCAGCCCCTCCCCCGGGGTGTGGGAGGGCTGGGGTCTGAGCTCTTCCCATTCTGAACTGGGGTCTGATAGCTAAGTGTGCATGGCTCCTCTGCTGCCCAGCTGCAGCCCCTGCAACAGAGCCTCAGCCTCCCCCACACGCGCTGCAGGCCCCGCCCTCACCTCGCCCTCCACACGGAGTCCCCCCTGGTCCTCTGCAGGTGTGGATGTCTCGTTAGAAAGTTCCCTGGAGAGCTAGCTCCAGGACACACCACCCCCAGTGTCTCCTAGCTGCACCTACTGCTTCCTTGCCGCCAGGTCTGCAGGCACTGTCCTCCTGGACCATGCGCGTGCCCCCCCCCACCCCTGT